CTGTATATATTCTGCCTGTCACTTAGGTATTAAAGGCACATAACTTATTGGAGGGGGTGACAACTACCATTAAAAGTCAAAGGACTAGATCAGATCCCAGTGTGAGTCCAGCCAGCACTAATGTTGATAATAAGCCAGTTATTAATATGAAAATAATTGTAAGTCAGTCTTCTGATCAATGCAAAGGTTTTTCCATTGAGAAAGATTCCCTTACCACACTGCCAGAGAAATCTAAGTTCGCTTAAATTCCATTGATTTCAATGAGGTAGCAATGCACTTGACTTTCTCTGGCTTGTGCCCACTATTTTTATTTTGCTTTTACTTTTAACACGGTATAATTAAGCATGAAAAATAATTTTTCTCAGGCAAAGTTGTGCCAGAATTAAAATAGAGATGACTCTGTTTCAGCTTGATCTGCTAGCACTTCCTGTGCTGGCTCAGGTATACGCAATCAGAACGTCAAAACATGGCCTAGCTTGTTATGAATAATACTTATGCCTTTGATTAATTTTGAAGTGCCTTTGACTCATAGAGGAAAAACACCCACTGAATTCAGTGGATCTAAGAGGCCACAGTAGTCCCACAGACACTATGTAAATAGGGGCTCGGTATTTGTAATATTGCACAAATGTTCAATCACATGATGATTAGATATTTATATATATCTAATAGCCAAGTTGCCCCCTCCGTGTGGATATCTAAATACGCACATCGGGGGCACTGGGGGGGCAGAGAAATTTTCCTGCACACTTGGAGCAGTCCCCAGGTGTGCAGAAAAATCTAAAAAGTTGAAAAAAGATACGGAGGATACTTAAATCCCCCCCAAAAGTGAAAGAGCATTCCCTGTGCAGAGAATGCCCTGGCAACTGTCTCACCCTTGCTGCTGGCATGGGGAGGGAGAAGGCTTGGCGGGCCGCCGCCACTGTGTGAGGGGGAGAAGGCTTGATGAGCAGCCGCCACGGGGGAGGGAGAGGCGTGGTGGGCCACCGCTGCTGGGGAGAGGGGGAGTGCTTTGTAGGGAAGGGAGAAGGTTTGGTGGGCCCGGCGGCTGGGAGCCATGTAGCCCTTGCTGCTGGTGCCAGGAGGTGGGGGAGAAGGCTCACCTATTTCCTCCTTCTCCTCTTCCATCCACATGGAGCTCCCCCCCCCGTGAGTATTGCGGGTCTCCCTTCTTGTAATCTTCTGATTTTCCCATGATATTCTTCTGATGTGTCTTGTTGTGTGGTGTGTCATGGTGGACTCATAAAGGACAACATTCAGGGTATTTCACAGAAATCTTAGGGAACCAATGGTGTGCCTAAAATGTTCCCAAAGTACAGCACCCTGTTCACTTCTTTTTGGAAATCATCTTGTGACAGGAAAGTCATTGGAAGGAATCCTTATTATCTATGTTGAGACTGGATATTATGTCATTTTTTTTTAACATGCAACGATGGATATTGTGCAAATATTTACAAAGAATACACATATGATAGCTCTCTCAATACCAAGAAAAAACAACAAGTATTTTTTACTTGGACACATTCTTGTTTTCTAAAGGTAAAGGTAAAGGTTCCCTTGCTCGAAAGCCAGTTGAGTCTGACTCTAGGGTTGCGGTGCTCATCTTCGTTTCAAAGCCGAAGAGCCAGCGCTGTCCGAAGACGTTTCCGTGGTCATGTGGCCGGCATGACTAAACACCAAGGTGCACGGAATGCTGTTTTCTAGAAACTGATTAATCATGGTCAAAACCTGATTATTTGAGATTTAATAAGGACTCTGATTCCCTGCCACACCAGTCTTAAGTACAGTTACCTAGGACCAAGTTCCCATACAGTATATCTCCAAATAACTATACTTAAGATTTCAGACACATGCACAAAGATATTCATGGGAATTTGAAGATATACATATCCTTATAGTGTTCTGTTAATTTTGTGGGCATTAGAACTGGATCATTTGGAGTAAAGTTTAGTTTGTATTGGACTCATGTTGTTTGTTTTAAATGTTAGTCCTATTGACATGTGAGATTTATAAATCAAATACCTGGTTACTTTAATATATTGATTTTGATGATGGTCTCTTCATTTATACTGGATTAAAACCAGTATACACTTACCATAAATCTACTTCTATACAAAAACCAATGCTACATTCTTGCTGTATATCCTTATTTTTACCTAATCAAAAGCTTCTGAAATATTCCATGACAAATACTCACTTACTAGTGACACAAGAGAATGTCATTCACTGCATGACTAGGGAGATCAACATTTCACAAACAAATGCTCTTGCTCAAGCCCAAAAGGCTTGTATATTACATCAATGTTGCAACATTCGCTTCTCTTTCGCTGAAACTTAAACCACTGCTTTCCACTTACACTATCCATCATATCAGTCGGTCATCTTGAGGTCATCTCATTCCTGTTGTGTTCAACATACTAGGAATGATTTCTTCATATTCCAAACCTTCCCCAATGCTTTCAAACATATGATCTTGTGAGATAATCCTACCATGTTTACGAGTCATGAGACAGTGACTATCGGCTTGATAGTTTCTCATTGTCAGAGTGTCTGTGCATAATCAAAAACCTTGGAAATTGCTTCCAAGCTTCTATTTGTTTAAGGACCCAACTACATACAGTGCTAGAGTTCTGTGACTGGATACCTCTGTTTACTCTCTACCAAGGTTTAAAGCAGGGGTCCCCAACTATGTTGAACCTTTGGGTAATTTTGGAATTTTGAGAACAGGTAGTGAGTGCCACAATGAAATGGCTGCCAGAAAGTGGGAGCAGGAAGCTTCCTATAGACACAAAGATGATGCCTCCTGGGCCATTCAGAAACAGCTCCTACTCCAAAGATGTGGAAGAAAGCCATGATTGGCTCTTTGTTTCAAAGAACTGGGCATCAGGAAACATATTGGCAGGTGCCATTTTGCTCATAGGCACCATGTTGGGGATCACTAGCTCAAAGCAGCCTGAGGGGCAATTCTATTGGAGCAACAGAGTAGGAGGGAAAGAAAAAAATGACCCTAATCTAGATTGAGCCCCCCGCCAGGGTTCCTTTTTAGGAGCAAATTACATCTCTGGAGTTCCAGCATCACATATAGTTTGGCTGTAAGTACCAAATCCTATTTGTTTGATGAAAAACAGGAAAAAAACACCCTGATTTGCTTAATCAAGTGAGAATGTTCTCACGCAGTTCAAGTCTCAGACTTTAAAGGAACAAAAATGTCATCCTCAAAGAGTCTGAGAAGAGCCAGTACTAATCATTTTAATGGGGCTGGGGCAAGCAGAATATATTAGGACTCAACAAAATTTGCAGTTATAGGCTGTGATCACACTGGCAGCTTGGCACGATATGGTGCCGCCTCTAATTGAACCGGGTTAAAGTGTAGTGGGATATATCAGCCACACAGCACATCCTGCTGTGGGCTACCGACGGAGACATCCCTTGGTAAAGCATCCACATTATTGTGGCGTCTCAGCCATGGAGCGAGCTGCAAAAAAACCCAACCATGTGTGTGCACATGCGCATGCATGCACACATAGGCAATTCTTTTTAAAAACCGACTCCGTAGCGGCAAAACAGATCTGCATATTCACACTGCCAAATCTGTTCTGCGTGTGCTCCCCCATGTTCAGACATCCGGCCATGCGCAATGAATGCGCGGGGAAACAAAAACACCACTTTGGAGGTGGTGGCTTTTTAACTTGGCTCCAAGTCGTCCTCTGACGGGGTGAGTATGCCTGGGGAATGCCTGACAAATGTGGCTGTGTGATCGTGCCCATTTAATCTGTTTGTAAAATGTGCCTGTATGGGGCCAAACTGCCAGTCTGAACACAACCATAGAATGGCTGTAGAGTTCAAGCAGAAGCTAGAGCAGGGTATCCATTAAAAAAGCAAACAAACATAAGATGGCCTTCATAGTCCACCTTCTTCTTCTTCTATTTGCTAGAACTTAAGGACATGTGAAAAGAACTACATCTTCACGTTTCATTCATTCCTTTGAAACCGTAGTCAAATAACATTCCAGGAAGGAGGCTATTCTCAGCACAGCTGCAATCAGCTCTGAACTGATAAATTGCATGAAGAAATCTTTTGGCTAAATTATAGGCTTGCGATATGCTGGAACAAGAACAGAGAGCAGTATTGCTTCAAGGATTTGAAACCTGGCTTTGAGAAATATAACTATACATCATGTAGGCTAATAAATCATTAACATTTACTCTTTAGATCTGATATTCTGCTATAAATCAATACCAATGGTATCTATCCTTTAACTGTAGCATGGTTTGATATTAGACATAAAACGATTCTGCAAATACATGAAGATAAAATGCTCAGTAATGGATATAACAAGTAAAAGGTGAATCATCATTGGTCAGATTTGACTTTTAGTTTAAGGGGCTACTGGGTGAGTACATTACAGTGGAGCCCAGCTTCAGTTTGCTAATCGTCATCCTCAGACAGCTACTGATAGACAGAAACCTATTTGTTCTAGCAGAAAATCCAAATATCTCAACTAAAATTTTGTTTTAAGTTAATGATGATATTTATGCTAAAAAGAGACTAGCAAGTTTTATCACAGCCAAGAACATCTGGCAATAGAGCTGAACCTTTAACCAGCTTTGACCAGTTGAGGTTTAGAAAACTAAAAAGAATATTTTCAAGAGCCCTAGGATTACATTCTGGGTAAAGGTTGAGTCTTCAATTGTTGCAGTCTTCTCAACTGAAGCTTTCACTTACAGAAACAGCTTCTTTCTGCTTGTTATACTAATTTAACAGAGGACATAGAAAAAAACACGCTGGATGAAAACAGAATCTATTGTACAATGGATAAATTAGAGCCATCATGTCTGCTGTGCTCTGCTCCAGCTAACTCTTGATCTCTTTGGCCAAGACACCGTCAGGCCAGCCAAAACCTATCCACACACCACTTTCCATATTCAATTCATTCTAGAATCTATTTGATTTGTAGAACTACAAGGAAGACAATTAAGATGGTCTTTTTGTTTGTTTTTTCATGTTTGGCGCTTCCATCCCTTTGGATATGGATTATAGTTGGAATCAACTACTGACAGACAGTAATCAGACCTGGAATCCATGGAGACCATGTCAGGATCAGTTCGGGCTCGTTGGCCATAATAGGCATACTGAAGAGGAGAGCCACAACGCATGGTGGAGCTAGGTGCAGATATTGTGCTCTTTGCAGGGGATATGGCTGCTGGATGGCTTCTTCCAAATGCAGCTAATTTAGCATGGGCACTTGGGGCAGGAGGCTGATAAGCAACTTTTTGTTTCCAGTCATCTGGAGGTGCTGGCAGTGTTTTCCTGCGAGCAGCTGAAACAACATTTGCCACAATCGATTCTTGGATGGTCTGAGGGCCAAAGGCATCATCCACAAGGCCAAGAGGGGATTTAGCGGCTGCTTCCCAAGGAGTCAGCCTCTTCCCAGGCTTGTCAACTGCTGGAGGTGGTTTGCCAAAATAATCCGTAGCCGACTGGAACGTCACAGGAGAAGCAGGGGACGTGGATTGCAAAGTGGCTGAAGGTGGCCATCCAGGGAGTGATAAGGACCGTTCTCCGTTCTTTTCCTAGAAATGGCAAGACGTCAAATGTAATTACATCTGCTGAATAGCAATGAAAGAGACTCCTACATTAAAGCAGAGGGCTATTTTGCTTGCAACCTATAATGTTGTAATTATAAAATAAATATATAGCTTTCTAATTTAAAAAAATAACATATTATAAGAACTAATATTAGCTGAAAAATCCTAACTGTAGTGAACCCCTCTAATTTTAACACCCTATGTAGTGGTGATTTCAGGTATCTCTTGTCACGTTTTTTGGACAAAACAGGATCCCCCCCCCAATTAAATGTTAACAGTTTACAGTTATGACACTCAAAGAAATTGTAAAAACACATGAAACCAACAGCCAGTAAATGCCAGCTCAGATTTACGTAAATCAGTCAGAATGTTTGGTGGTCCAGGTTCATGGCTGAATTAAATTCAAAGACTCAAGCAGTGATCTATGAATACCAGAGTAAACATTCAGGACATGGGGGGGGGGCAGCTTTGATGAAAGTAAAGCAGCAGGTTGACAGAGTCCCAGTCTGACTGAAAGTATACAGCAGTGAATGGGGGCAAAAACCATTGACCAGTTTACTGACTGCCTCTTCCTGCTTCTTTTGCTGGTCGTGCTAGAATCCCTTGAGGCAAAAGGGAGACACTACATGACATTTTAATGAGTGGGATTTGGGGTTCCCCACGCCTACCTCACTTTCCCCACAGTTGGACAGGGAAATGCCACTTTAAAAGCCTGCAGAGCCCTATTTAGCTCAGGACCGCAGTGTGGGGGGAGGAGGAGTGAATGTCTCCTTCCCATGCCTTTTTCCTGAGCTGAAACAGCCTCAGCGAGGAAGATATCTGCATAACTTTTGAGCTGCATGTGAAGCAGTCTGAGCATGTGCAGCTTCAAAGTGGGGCCATTTTGGTTCAGGAAAAAAAGGAGCCACTCCTACCCCCCATGCCACTATCTTGAGCCATATGGGACTCCTGCTGGCTTTGACAGTGATATTGCCTGCAGGTGCTGCGTGTCTTCGGGGAAGGAGAGCCAAGTCTAGGAAAACGTATTTTAGTTTGGCCTAAAGGCAGGCACCGTTGCAAACTAAGATTGTTCAGGTAGCCAGTGCAAAGCTGGGGAGTAAATCTTCTGCCATTCATTTTGGTACTTAGGGTTGCTAACTCTGGACTGGGAAATACCTGGAGATTTGGGGAGTAAAGCCTGTGGGTGGTGGGGTTTGGGGAGGGGAGGGACCACAGCAGGGTAACAATTTCATAAAGTCCACTTTCCAAAGCAGCCATTTTCTCTAGGAGAACTGGTCATCTGGAAATCAATTGTAATAGCAGGAGATCTCCAAGTGCCACCTTGAGGTTGGTAACCCTAGTTGTGATAACAGAGATATAAGTATGAAGAGATGTATTTTCAAAAAGACATTGTTTCTCATCTTGTCCTCAGCTGCTCTGTTCTAATGAGACTAATTCCAAACTACCAGTCACTGTTGCCATTTCTGTGGAGCAAATTCTGGCTGCAGTCACACACACGAAATAATCCACTTTCAATCCACTTACAGTGTACTTTCCAACTGGATTTTACTGTGTGAACTTCTAAAATCCAGTTGGAAAGTAGACTGAAAGTGGATTGAAAGTGGATTATTTCATGTGTGTGACTGCAGCCTCTCTGATAGAGCCTGACTTTTATATGAAGTATTCCTGAAGATAAATGATTATACCATTGCCAACCTACACTTCACAATAATTTGCCTCTTCTGCTGACATGCTCTATTATTAGACTATTTATATCATGATTTTTCATCCAAAGACAACTTCCACAAAATAGTAAACAAAAACTGGGCCAAATAAAACAAATATTGACATAAAAACTAAAGGAATATAAAGAAGAGGAGGAGGAGGAGATTGCATTTATACCCCACCCCTCACTACCCGAAGGAGTTTCAGAGCAGCTTACAATCTCCTTTCCCTTCCCTTCCCCAAATCACAGCAGCAAAAAGGAGTACAACTGGTAAATGTGATATGAAGGAGAGTCTTCAGCATGTTCAGTCTATAAAGATATCCTGCCTGGCACCCACAAGGACCTGTGCTTGTCAGTGGTTGCTCCCAATTTATGGAACAGGTTCTCCAAGGAGTTGAGGGGGTGCTGTCCTTGGAAATAGGGGTGTGCAAAAAAAATAAAAATCGGCCGATTCGGATTCGGCCGAATTGGGCAGAATCAATTTTGGCCGGCATAAAGACTCCTGTATGTCAATTTTGGCAGTAGCAGCCGATTCAGGAGTCTTTCGGACAGCTGAATGTCAGTTTCAGCCCCATTATATCCTATGGGCCATTGAAGTCAATGGTGAAAACATAGGGTATATTCTGGGGGCTGGAGGGGAGGGGGTTTGAGGGAGAGGCTCCTAACTTGTAGATTAGCTGCTGGAGCCTCTCCCCAAGATACCAACCAAGTTTCAAAAGCATTGGACCAGGGGGTCCAATTCTACAGGCCCTCAAACAGGTTGCCCCTATCCCCTCCATTGTTCTCTATGGTGGGAAAAAAGTTATCTTCTTCAAACTAGGGTGGTATCTTGGGGAGATGCTCCAGCAGCTACCCTGCATGTTTGGAGCCTCTCCCTCAAACCCCCTCCCCTCCAGCCCCCAGAATATACCCAATGTTTTCACCATTGACTTCAATGGCCCATAGGATATAATGGGGCCGAATTGCCACCGAAATTTGGTGGCAATTCGGCGGCAAGCCGATTCAGATCCGAGAATCTGAATTGGCCTGCAGCAGCCCGAAAGGGGTCCGAATGGGCCATTTTCAGGGGTGCATTTGGTTTGGACGAACCGAATGCACATCCCTACTTGAAAACCTTTAAGATGTGCTTTAAGGCTGTTTTATTCACTAGAGCTTTAAATAAATATTTGGAATCAATTTTATTGCATTTTATTATGCTTTATTAGGCCGGGGAGCGGAGCTGAGGTTTCATTGTTATTTGATATTTTTAAATGTATATTGTAAGCTGCTTTGAGCCATGGGGATGGGCAGAATATAAATGTATTATGAAATTAATAATAAAATTCCTACTCTCAGTCGATAACTGCACTGGGCAATAATGGCCTTCTGCCTAGCTCAAAAGCTTTAAGAAGATTTTTTCATTGACTGTCAAAATGAAATAAGTGATTGGCCAGGCAGGTCTCTATTGGTTGGGCACTCATACTGTTTAGGTGCCACGATTGAAAAGTGCCAAGACAGAGCTTGGTACATTCACGTTACATTTTAGCTATTCAGTATAAACTATTTGGTCAAAAAAGCTCTAAAGTTACAGTTGTCTTTCACTAAGAAAGCTGTTGCCTAGTAAATTAAGACATTCTGGGCCATTTACAGGAGGAATCTATCCATATTTTACAAATCTTAATCTTTTAAGGATATAACCACATTCATCCAAAAACTCTCTCTACAATCAAGGATTGCCACAGCAACCATCATCCAGGCATATATATCCTGTTTGTGCGGGTCAGTTCGGCCATAACAATGATTTTATTCTGGACATTTGAAGACAAAGCTTTTATTGGATACATGGAATTAAGTGAGAGAGAAATTTTAATAAACACCTAAATTTGGCAGTTGCACAATCCTGTACACAAATATGGCAGCAAGTTCTGATAACTGGAATATCTGGAAAACTCTTTTTTACTCATATTTTGAATTAGTCACAGCAGTATGCTGGAGAAATCCTCCAATTCAAAATCTGCTCTGATTTCTCTTTGTATCAGTATGATTGAGCAATATATGAAACATGCTATCAGTCACTATGTACAAAGTATACTAAATTCTGTGTATGAAATAAACGAAGCTTTCTATTGTAGTTATAACATAGTAAATATGGATTTGGAATATAAACACTCCTAAACCAATGCCTTACTTCTTAAGAACATGAGAATCCCTTAGTACATCCACCCACCCCACTTCAACAAGGGCATAAGAAAAATCCTGCTCCTTCACACGGTTTGCCCAACTTGAAACGGTCCCAAGTAGGGATGGGCATGAACTGCATTTTTGTGGTTCAGTTTGTGGATGAACCATGAACCAAACCACAAACTGATATGCTGGTTCACAAATGGGTTCACACCAGTTTGTGAGCCACTTAAAGTTTAAACCCCTGCTTTCTGCTCCCTATGGTTTTTTATAGGGAGCAGAAAGAAGGGGTTTAAATGTCTCCAAACTATTTAAACCAAACAGCTGAGCAACAGGGAGCTCCCCACCACACAGCTGTTTTTCGTAACCCCCTGCTTTTGCTCTTTAAGAACCGCTGTGAATGGCATTAAAATTCGTGGAAGTTCATGGTGGTTCTTCAGTTTGCGAACATCACTTCGCGAACCACGAACAGGCCAAAATTCATTATGAACTTTAGTTTGTCAGCCAGTTCATGCCCATCCCTAGCCCCATTACCCCCTGTTTGCACAGCTGTGGAAACTTATGTGTAGCCATCTTTTCCTGTAAGTTTCTCCAATAGGCAAATAGTGGCTTTACAGATGGGTAGCTGTGTTAGTCTGTAGCAGTAGAAAACAGCAAAAGTCCATTAGCACCTTAAAGATTAACAAAGGTCCTTTCCGCACTAGACCTTAAATCCTGGTTCAACCCTGTCCCCGAACTTACATTCTACACTACACCCGAGTTCACCCCTGTAATTATCTCAGGGTATTTTTACATTTTACACTACACTTTAGTTCACCCCGGTTTCACCCCACACTTATCCTGGGATAAACGGATGTTGTTATAACCAGGAATAAATGCAAGGTATTGTGTTGTGAACTGAACTCTGATAAAACCAGGGATGAGATCCAAGTGTGGAAACGACCAAACTTTGTGGCAGGGTATGGGCTTTTGTGAATCACTACAACTTATTGAAATATCTGACGAAGTGAGCAGTGACTCATGAAAGCTCATACCCTGCCACAAATTTTGTTAGCCTTTAAGATGCTACTAGACTGTTGCTCTTTTCATTGGCTTCCCAGGTATGGGGAAGAAG